AWTTGAAGTAACTGGRCTGAGTTTATTGCATTGAGTTTTTAAATATCAAAACCAACATTATCCTTATTATTTGTCACCCCAAATTCAATTACAAAGTCTCCGATCATTAACATTTCCTATAAAAATACTTCATTTGTTCTTGAGGATCGATACTCGGAATACTCGTTCCGTTTTTACTACTTGTGACGGGTGTACACTTGCGCTCTCATTTATTTTGAATTCAAAACACCCAAACAAATAAATATGAAAATATGAAAATTTTAGAGAGAGAAAAATAAAGTTTGTAGGGAGAAATTTAAAAATAAAAAAATTTTAGAGTGAAAAATAAATTTTTTTGAGATAAATATGAGAAAGAAAAAAAAGTTGAGTATTAGAAGAAAAAAAATGAGATTTTGAAAAACAAAAAACTGTTTTTTTTTTGTTTTTTGAAATTTACCATGATTTTAAAAAAACAAAAAATAGAAAATTGAATTGGCTATCAAATGTTTTTTAAAAACTAAAAACCAAAAACCAAATGTTATCGGCTCCTTAGAAAACCATAGAAAAAACAATAGTAAAATTAAAAAAAAATTATAGAAAAAGATTGAGAAAAGTTTTAGCGGGAAAATAACAAAAAAATAAAGAGGAAAAAGTTGGAAATGCAAAATATTTTTAAAAAGAAAAAAAGATGAAAGTTTGATGAAAAATGAATAAATATTTGCAAAAAGTTTTTCTTAATCCTAAATAAATTTGGAAAACCAAAATTAGAAAGAGGCTGAGAAGATTTTGAGCGAGAAGAAAAACAAAATTAAAAGTAAAAAAAAAGTTAAAGATTTGGAAGGAAAAGCAATTATAAAACCATAGGGAAAAAAGTAATATATTTTTACAAATTATGTAAGAAAAAGGTTGAGAAAAATTTTAGAGAATAAATAACCAAAAATAAAGAGAGGAAAAAGTTCGAAATTGTAAAATATTTTTAAATAGAAACAAAGATGAAAGTTTTGGAGAAAGATGAATAAATCTTAGCAAATTTTTTTTTAATCCTAAGTAAATTTCAAAACACCAAAATTAGAAAGAGGTTGAGAAAATTTTGAGAGAAGAAAAATAATATTAAAAGTAAATAAAGTTTAAAATTTGGAAGAAAAAGCTAGAAACAACTAGAAAAAAATTTTGGAAACAAAAAAGATAGAAAACAAGGGAAAAGGAAAGTAGTAAATTCTGAAAAAAAAAATATAGAAAAACGTTGATAAAATTTTAAGCCAGTAAATAACCAAACAGATAAAAAAGGAAAAAGTTTGAAATTGTAAATTTTTTTTTAAAACAAATAAAGATGAAATTTTGAAGAAAAAATGAACCTAGATCTGAGTAAATTTCAAAAAATCAAAATAGAAAGACGTTGAGAACTATTTGAGAAAAGAAAAACAAATTGTAAAGTAAATCAAGTTTAAAATTCGGTGGGAAACAACTCGAAAAAAATTTTGGAAACAAAAAAAGTTAGAAAACAAGAGAAAAAAGTAATAAATTAAAGAAAATATATAGAAAAGATTGAGAAAAGTTCTAGCGAAAAATAAAAAATAAAGGGAGGAAAAAGTTTTAAATTACAAAATATTTTAAAAAAGAAATAAAGATGAAAATTTGAAGAAAAAAGATTATTTAATCATAAGTCAATTTAAAAAACCCAAAATTAGAAAGAGACTCAGAAAGTTTTGAGAGAGAAGAAAAATAAAATTAAAAGTAAAAAAAAGTAAATGATTTGGAAGAAAAAGTTTGAAAGGAAAAAAATTTTGAAAGAAGAAGTTATGGAACGAGAGGAAAAAACAGGTAAATTTTTTTTAAAAAAATATGTTAGAAAATGTTGAGAAAAATTTTAGAAAGTTAAATAACCAAAAATAAAGAGAGGAAAA